CAAATTCTCCCAAACTTTCACAAGTGTTTCGATAACTCAATAGAAACATGGAGAACATGTTTTCAATTTCGTTTAGAAAATACCATGACGAATAAAGAAAACATTTTGTTTACTTGGATCATCAAGATGTATTATTCTCTTTGCTTGTGCCATCAGTATGTCAACAGCTCATGCTAGTTCTGTGTTTCTATTGAGTTTTGGTAGAATTCTACTAAGTATACTAATGCAAATGCTGCAATCTGATTGGCTAAGCTACTCATATACTATTAGCCACTAGAGTGCAGTGTTCAGAGATCGTCCACGCAATGGCAATGGTTTCTAGTTTCTCTAATGTTTAGAGGAAGATTTAGAAATAATTACTGGATAATTAAATTCTCAACAACCCCAAGAAAGGAAACTGATCATCATGCACCTTTAAACCTGAAATTTTTCAATGGACCGATGAGTGCACATGCACAACTGAGCAAGTTTCAAATAACAATTCAATCCGCACTAGTGTGCTAAAGCATGAAGTTTAATACTTAACTATGTTGAGAATTGATTGGAAATAGCTATTTGAAGGAAATTTAGTTAGAATTCCACTAAAACAATTAGATTATTTGCTCTTGATTTCTATGAGGTGATAATTAATTTGGCCAGATCATGTGTATTTTGTGCACCCCTCGACCAATATATCGGTCAGCATATCGACCAACACTCGACTGATATATTGGTCTACATATCGACCGGCACTCGACCAATATGTCAGTTGACATATCGACCGGCAATTGACTGATATATAGACCGAGATATGTCAGTCGACATATCGGTGAAGTGTCGGTTGATATGTCGACCAACACTCCACCAATGTGTTGGTCAATATGTCAACCGAGAGTGGTTGTCCGATTGTCGGCCAACATGTCGATCGATAGGCTACCAACGTTCCGCCGATACTTCACTGATACTTGCGTACTGGTGACTGTAGCCTGCATCACAGACGCAACTTAACCTAGGTTAGTAACTTCTGCTGAGTAGCGCAGATATCCCTGTATGCATAGAAGACTGGAAGGGAATTACAAAAATAAGATATATGCAAGGGAGTAATATACCACCGGGAAAAAATATAACATACCAAATGAGGACAATCCCATCTTCTTCAATATACCCTACCAAGAAGTACAAGTTAGACTACATGTGCAAAACAAGCGTAGCCTCAGTAGAATTATTTAACAGCAAGTATGACTCGTTGACAGGGCAAGGCTGAAACC